TTGTTTTAAACAATTTTACTTAGATTCAAACTGAGAGAAAATCAATATTACAACCTCAAAGAGTACTACCTCACCTAACAAGTTTCACTCTCACAAATTGGAGCAGGTACATTTGTTTCTCAGCTTAATAATGCCAACAAGCTCCAAAAAAGTGGGAAATATTGAAAGCATCTATCGTTTGTGCTTATTAAATACACAGGTCTTTCTTTAAAACAAACAAACAAACAACAACTTCAGGGCTTCTTTTCCTTACCAGTTGATCAAATTTCGATCCAAAAAAATAGCAATCATTATAAATCAATGAAAAAATCATATTCTGGGATTTTGCACAGAAAGTAGATGCAAGATAGCACACTCAAAACAAAAGGTTCCAGTTACAATTAGCTTAAATAACTTCCAGCAAATCTTTTAAGCTGGGGAGTATATATCCAAGGTAGTGTATCAATGCTCATGGTCTCTGGTCTCTGCTGAGTTTCTTTTCTCAGAAGACCCAGGGTTGCCTCTCCCCTTAATAGCCCGAAATGGACCAAAAGGTTGGCATTAGAATCTCTTACATATAAATTAAGGTTTGCAGAAATTGACAGACAAATGTATCATATTCAAAGATATAAAGCTGATCTACTGTTTCTTTACTTTGTCTTGTTTTCAACATTATACAACAATGAAAGTATCAACCAATCACCTTGCAAAATATATCTATATATCTATATGTATATATATATGTGATATATATATAGTTAACTTCCATAGATTCCACAATAATCAGACATATCATCAATTAAATAATTCCTAAATTGTCTAAGCAAATGTTTTAAGCCTTGGTCTTAACAAATCACCATAACCTCTCATAATTGTATCTATTTAGTTCTTCAGATTTAAGTGTGGTAGATCACTTGTACTACCTACCACATATGAATTTGAATGGTTTTTAATGAGTTGTATTTTTTCCTAGATGAGTAACATTTGAAACTAATATATTACTATTTCCCCTTATACTTCAGTAGATGAATCATTTTTAAGTTATCCAGTTTGTACAAAATGAAGATCACATGAAGAATCTCTTCACTAATTTCTAACTTGTCAAAGATAGTTTATGAACAGATACATATACCCAGTGACTATTGGACGCCAAGCTGCAAAGAGCTCAGTGAAATATCACATTGTGAAAATTAAAGCTGCCTTCTTTTTTTTTTTCATCTGCTCAGCAAGAGAATGTGGACTTGGCATAGTTTCTAAGTAGACTAGACAAGACAAAAAGTATTCTTTTAAAATGTGAAGTATGAAAATAGCTATTGTAAAAATCATGATTTTACATTGTATTTTGTAGTTTCTCTGTATGCAAGTTTCTTAGTTATTCTAGTCTCTAGCTTGGGTTTACAGGCTCTCGATATCATGCAAAAAAAATGTATATATATACATATATATTATATATGTATATATATAATGTATATATACACACACACATACACAATATACATATATAATTGTGTGTGCATGTGTATGTATATACATATGTATATACATATGTATACATATGTATATACATATATATACCTGTAGCTTCTATCAGGTTTGGAGTTTAAATTTCATTGTGTAAAGTTCTGACCTTGGAGATCAAATTCCAAATTAAAATTTTTCCTTTTCAACAGGAAAGCAATCCCTGGAAAGATGAGAGAGCTCTGGGTGCATTTGTATACAAATTACTCAAAGTCTCTATTTTTAACAGTCTTTGAAAAATGTATCCTCTCCCATCTCAACCCTCTTCCAAAAAAAAAAATCCCACCAGACTATGTAATTTGGAAATCTGTCCAAGCTTACATGCACTGGCTTGGCACCTTCCCACCAAAATACACACCAAATACACACAATACACAAAAAAAACCATTACAAATAGTAAATAATGAGTAAATCCATTTGTCCAAGCAAATAAAACATAGAAATTGAATTCTGTAGATTAGACTGCACCAGAAAATACATACAAGTGAATGAGTTCTCTAGATAGGAGCAAACTAAGATCAGTGTCAACCAACCTCACAGAGGGAGAAATTTCCTGAAAAATCTAAATGGAAGATGGTGATAAAAGACATGTGGAAACACCAACTTCCCCTTTCAGGTCTGCAAATGCTTTTCCCTTTGCCTCCTTGGAGAGTTGTTTCTAAACAGAGTCTCGAAGTGTGTGTGTGTGTGTGTGTGTGTGTGTGTGTGTGTGTGTGTGGGTGTGGGTGTGGGTGTATGAGAGTACCTTATTTGCCATTTCCCACCAGCTGCATTCCTTGCACTTAGACTCCACCATCATCAGGCTTACAGAAACCTCTTCACCACATAACTTGTCATCCTGCAAGATTAGATCAACTTTGGCACTCAAACCTCTTCAGTACCTTCTCCTGTCAAAGCTTCCATCTAAAGAGGGCTTAGGCCAGCCAGCTATACCCTTGAGCTGGGTACCCTCTCCCACAAGGGGCAAAGAGGAGCACTAGCATGGTGGAGCTTGTAGTGGCTATACAGAAAAAATCCTCCTCACAGTTCCAGGACAGAAAGGAGTGCTTGTGGTCACTAATAGACCAGAGCACAGGCCAGGAAAAGAGTAAACACCTCACCTTTGATCATACCACCTTGGAAGAATGGAAAATTTAAGGGACCCTACAAGTATCTCTGAAAACAGCTGTACAAAACCCCGAAGCTTGGGACAGTACGTTCTCCACACTGGAAGCAGACTCTTACTATGAGAAAGAGTTTAAAACTCGAATAATTGGCTGAGATCACAAGCAAGCAGCACAAAAAGAATCAGACTATATTATCTTACCTTGGTGGCAAAGAAGATCAAAACATACAACCAGAAGACAACAAAGTCAAAGCTCCTACATCCAAGGCCTCCAAGAAAAATATGAATCAGTCCCAGGCCTTGGAAGAGCTCAGGAGGGATTTTGAAAAGCAAGTAAGAGAAGTAGAGGAAAAACTAGGAAGGGAAAAGGTGAGGACTGTTTTTCTTCTCCTGGTTTGTATCCCCAGTGCTTAGCACATAGTAAGTATTTAACAAATATTTATTAACTGAATGAATGAAAGGAGGATTGAAGAATGACCCTCCTCTCCAGCAATTTTGTACTAACTCCACCCCTCATACTTTATAGGTGAATCATCCTTCAATCCACCAACCAGGTGAGTCTACTGCAAAATGCTCCAGTCTCAAACCTCAGGTTGCTTCTGAAAGTGGTTTTACCTCTTCAGGCTTGAGGGAAGCTCAAACTGTTGTGTGGAGTAAGTGTATGCTGTGGCCATCTTTGTTGTATTTTGTGTCCTGATCATCTGAATGTAATTTCTTTTTCCTCTTTTGGTGTGATTAAGTTCTATTCCCCTAAGGTATGGAGAATAATGCCCCAAGGCTCAGGTCCTTCTTATTATTATTTTCTGAGGTCTGTCCCAGGGCTCAACCTAAGGCTCTACTCTCCACTCCGGAGCCCAGGGTCAAGTTGTCCCACAAATGATATTACTCCCTGTGGTCTGGTCCCTCCCCAGGCCTTCATACTACAGCTGTCCTCTCTTCCCTGGAACTGAAACCATGGATTCTGCTTTCCAGGAAGTGCCCACAGTCAGCAGGGTCCCTGCCCCTCTGCTACTGCACTCAACAGGTGTGTGCTAACTCCTCCCCCACAACAGCAGACCAGCCCCAGACACATCTGGTCAGCATAGCTGTGCTTGGCATCCCTCAACAGTGGAAGGTCCTTCAATCTTCTCCTATTCAGCCATCAGACCCCCACACTGTACAGGAGAGGAAAGTTTCTAAGGCTGAGGCTGCCTCTCAATCCCAGCTGCCCTGACTGGTAATTGATTGTTGATTCCACAGAATCATTTGGCCTTGAGGTGTTTGCACTTCACTCTAGCTGTACCTCTGCCCCTGGAGGTCTTTCCTGGGGTCTTCTTAGGTTGTCTTAAAAGAACAACTGCTTAAGCCTGACTTTTGCTTATTTCTGCTGCTCTACATTCTCTCTGAGGCAATGTTCTGTCTTTTTCTGTGGAAGAAATTTGGAGAGCTGAAAGTTTTCTACCTACCTTGCTATCTTCCCAAAATCTTCTTCTCCCTTTGATTCTTTACCTTGGTAATTTTCTAATGTTTCCAAAACTGTTACCTCAGTTATTTAAGACTGAACTTGTAATTTTAGTTTGTTAGACAGTTTGAATTTCCTGTGGAAATTTACCATCTGCTTTGCTTTAAAAAAAAAATCGAAACAAAACCGTACAGAATCACAACTGCCTCTTTGCTGCGGTTTGTGCTGACAGTGAACACTGATGATGGGGTATGGGCTCTGGATAGCCCCCATCCCACCCCTAGCCCACAGGCTCCATTTTGAACTTTTCTCCTGAACTTTCCCACATGGCCCAGTACCTGCTATTCACCTAAGGTATCTGCTCATCCCAGAATAATCCTTTCAACAGTCCTTTCATTATGGTTCTGACCCAGCCCCAACCTTCAATTTTCTGTTACCTCTGATCCAGCCCAGCCTTTCATTGCTTGTTCCCTCCAGACCACCCCAGGCTATTTCCCCTCCTTTAATCTATCTAGACCCCTTCTTTGTTTACTTCTCAATTACTCTAAGATATTGGCCATTCCTTGATCCCATCCAAATCTTCCCAGAAATCTTTTTCCTTATAAAAAAGGTCAGTCTCATCTACCAAAAGGCAGATTCTTAACATCTCCCTGACCCCAAGGGTTTTAATAAACCTTGTCTCTGACTGAAAGAAGGCTTGAGTTGAATTCTTTCAAGGCAGACCTACATCTTTTACCCTTGAATTTTTGGGTTCCTAGCACCCTTACACCACAACAACTAATAGTCTACCACCATGGGGATAGAGCCAGCATTGCCAATGTGGCCACAAAGCTTGGACTTTGTGTAGCCCTTCAGGACAATGAATCTGGATATAGATGCTTAAGAGGAAAACACCAGAAAAAGACCATTGAAACTTTGTTTTTTTAATGCACAAAAGAAAGAAGGAAGCACATATAGTCAGGAGAGATCTCTATGTAATATAGAGACTTTATTATTTTATCTTAAAGCAAATGATATGAAACAGAAATTTAGGTTTACATATAGAATCTTCTTTTGATATTCTGCTGTGTGCATGGAAATTCTCTCCCACCTTCTTTTTTCATGAAGTTTATAATTTGAAAAAAATTAAAATTACCCTAAATCTGGAAGCCTTACAAAGTACCCATGACGTGCAGTTCTTTCTACCATGGAGGGAATTAAAATAGGCTCTTCAACATCTCCCATATACTTTTCACTGCCTTTACTATATCATCTTTAATCTTCTTCACAAAACCAACTATCTGCCTCACAAACTCAAGAACTTTGTTCCACCCATCCTTAATCTTTTTCAGCATCAACTCCCAGATACTGAGGGCCTTTTCCAGTGTTGTATTTCCCGTTATTGGCTCATTGTAAGAGGCATCATCATTCTTCATTTTCTCCTTCAGCTTCAGCTGCTCAGTGATGCGGACCCCAGTGTGGTCCTGAGGGTAAGCATAGAAAACTCAGGTTAATGGTCAAGGGCTGAATTACATAGAAAAAAAACATTGTCCCCCTAATGCCCAACCTCCTCTCCTATCCTCAGGTCAGATTTTTCTTTCTTCCTTACCCTCCTTTTCATCGACCCTTCCCCCAAGTCCTCTGTCAGACAGACAGTTTCCATCATATACACCAGCCTGGGGTTAGGCAACAGAGATCAGAGGGCAAGGGGATAACAAAGTCCAGGGCAAGTGACAAAGGGGAATGAATAAGAGGCCACGGTGGGTGAAAGACTAGACTAGGGAAGGGGCACGGCAATGATGCTGGGGCAGGTATGGAGGACAGAGGCAGGAACTAGAGAGATTGGGACCCACCTGATTTTGTTTCTGATATTCAGCATCGACAGTATCCATCAAATAGTTATTGATGTCCTCCTGAATGAGAGGTGGAAAGCAGCAGGTAAGGGGCAGACAGCTCTGACAGCCCCCTCCCACCCTTGTTGGAAAGACAACAAAACTCCCAGGGTACATGAGGAAGCAGAGTGGGATGAAGAGAGAGAGGAAGGTCATTGAACAGGACCCAGAAGTCCTAAATCTCAGTTGCCCTTAATGTGAGGAGGCCTGAATAGTAGAGTCCCTGGATGAAATTGGGGACAGTATAACAGGGGCTCTGGCCAATGGAAGCCTGTTCCCAGAGCGTGCTCAGCAAGCTCTGCCTTCTCACAGCTCATAGGGAAGAGGCTGGGAAGACTCCATCCAGGAAAAGCATGATGATGTATGATGGAAGGGCCAGGTGAGGTGCCATAACCATACTGAAGAGTAGAATTCAGCCTCGCAAGAAGTGGACCTGGCTGAGAATGGGGCAACTCATCCGTTAGGTCTGCCAGAGGTAAAGGAAGTAGGGAAAATATTTGTAGTAGCTACTTCAAGTCTGAGCTGAGTCTTCCCCAACCCCTTCTCCCATTAACAGATTGTGTATTTATGGGAGAGTGAGTCCCCTAGGGTGGAGGGATGTGTCAGTACTTCCATTCTTGCTATATCTTCTCAGTAAATATCCTTTTAAAAAAGATCATTGGTTTTAATTAGTTCAGTGATACTGGGGTGCTAATCATTGGAGGTTATCAATGACATAAGGAAGACATTAACCATAATTGGTGATTGTTACTGGTAAGAACACACGAGAATGGGAGATCAACTTAGTGGCATTAGAAAGATACCTGCAACCACTCACAGGTGCTCCTAGAATCCTGAAGGGGAGCAGTTTTGTTTTAGGACCCTGACCAGCTGATATGTATATAGCTTGGGAGAATAAGTCCAGAGCCTCAGAATAACAGGGTAGGACAAGACAAGATAGAAGGAGAAAGAACTGAAATCTGGGCTTACCTCGTACTGAGAGGTTAAATTTTGAATATTTTCCAAGTCTGTTGAATCATCATCCTGTTGGAGAAAATTTTTTTTTGATCCTTACCTTCTCCAGCTTCCTCACATCTTTGCTCTAACAAGTACCTTGCCCATCCCTATCTAATAACATTAAGGTACCAGCCTGGAGACTGAATTCCTCCTCCTACCTCTAATTCAATGGAATGGCTTAAGGAAAACCCCTCCCTTCTGAGTTTTAATTTTCCATCTATAAAGATGGAGATAACAATCATCACTGTTGTGAGGCACTGATGAGACCATGAATGTGGAAATGTTCTGAAAAGTCTCAAGCCATGAGTAAGAAGAAGGTATTATTATTGTTGTTACTGTTGTTGTTGGTATGCCAGGTAGCACCTTTACCCCAAATCCCAACCATCCCAATACTTCTAAGGAAATCTAAGGAATCTGGCTATCTAACCATGGTTCCCAGGGCTCGGGGCTCAGGGATAGAGATTGAAACCTACCTCATTTATTCTCAATTTAATGCTGTCTATGAACTGTCAGCTTTCTGGTGCTGTGAAAAGAAAAGCAAGGCCAGAAGTTGGAGCTGGGGTGGGCACAGGTAGGTCCTGGACCTCCTCTGCAGCAAACATCCAAAATCTCCCTACCTTCCTGGGAAACTTGAGAGTAGGACAAGGGGATGGAGGGAGAGGGAGAAATAAGATCTTGCCTAGGCCCTGTAATATATTTGCTTTCTCACAATAGGTAAGTTTCCTTTGCCCCAGTGTTCCTGTTTCTCCAACTATAAGATGAGATGGTAGAAGCTGATGATCTCTCCTTGTCCCTCTAAATCAGTGATCCTATGATGTTCTCAGATCATCTCTAAAGTATTCTCCATCTGTGAGGTGCCATGGTTATTTATTCTGATTTTTCCTTGATCAAGAAATAGAGGTTCTATAAGGGAATATATCTGTTTGCCTTACAACAAGTTGCCTGAAATCTTCCAATTCTGAGGTCTTGACCTGTGGAGGAAAGAGTCTGAGTAAATCCCCTTCCCAGTCTCTCTCCCTACTAAAATATAGAGAGGGCAACAAAGCCTCCTTTTCCAACCACGCTGCACCCCCAATCCCAGAGCATGCTTAAAATTGCCCTCTTATGCCACATGTGAAAGTTGGGGCTGGGGAGCCTGCATCCAGACTCATGAGACATTCTCAGAGTATAAGCCTCTCAGGGTCTAAAAGCAGGCCCCACAAAGGGTCCATGTGGTCTCCCTCCACCCCAAACCATGAGTGGCAACACTTAGAGTACTGTAAGAGGAGAGATGACCCCTGCTACAATAATCATTTTTTATTGTTCACAACAATAATAGTCGCTGATACTTATCTAGTGATTTCTTCTGTCACAGACATATTCTCAAACACAATGTATGGGAAACACTTTGTTAACATACAAACATCATTTTGGCTTACTACTCTTTTTATCCAACAAACATTCGTGAAGTACCTCCTCTCTTCTTTAGTCCCACCTTTCCTCTCAGAACCCCAAATGACAGGGCAGGGGCTGGGCTGGCTGATGGTTTGGGGGGAGGGGGAGAGGAGGTGAGGCCATGGGATATACAGCAGCCCCTTCTTACAGCCATGGGGATCCCAGAGATGATCCCTCCCTCCTGCCCTCACTTTTAGCTTTCCCCACTCTAGCTGGGTCCCTGGGCTTACCTTCGAATAGCACATGGTGGACCTAAGAGTGGGGGGCCGAGATGTGTGAGGAGCAAGCAGAGTCTGTGGGAAGAAGAGACTGATCTGGGGGATAAGGAGAGGGGTTATTCTTGATTTCTCCCAGTGCTGTTGTGGCCCCTGGAAGAAAAAACTCAGAGACAGTTTCTAGTCAGTAGATTTTTGACTTGCAAAGCAGGGGAGATGGACACAGATAAATGTATCTGGATACAATTCAATTAGATTTTCTTAGAAGGATGCTTTTATATATGAAAGCAACAATACCAAAGGAAATGCTTCCTCTATTCTGGCTGGCTACACTACCCAGTCATAGGAATCTGTGCATGGGAACACAAGGAAACAAACTGACAGTATGATCATTATCCGATTATCATAAGGTATAAATAACATATGGTTAAGACAATTGACTGAAGCAAAGAAATGTCTGTTAGAAGAGAATGAATAAAAGGTACAGGACTTTTTTCAGCTGTACCTTGTGCTTACTCAGCCAGCTGCAGCAGCCCTGTAATTCCTTGAAACCAAGACACAATTACTGATATTGAAAGATTTTGAAACTATTTCACATCCGTCCCCAGACTCCTTCTGGGATATGGGGCTTCACCAGACTTGGGAGGACTATCCCTCCTCACCATCCCCCCATACCTTAGCCCACCCCACACCTCCCTCCTGCCCTGTGACAGCTTCCAGGCTGATTTCTGTCCCATGCCCCTCAGAGCTCCCTTGCTGCCTCTCTTGGGCATTTTGTTCTCTTCCTCTTTAACCATCACCTCTAGCATTCTTCTAGCCCACTCTCCAGGAATTTCCCCAGTCTCTCACCTCTTCCAGCAGTGGGCTCCTGGCTCCCTCTGAGAGAAGAGCATGTGGGGAGGAAAGCTGCTTGCATATAAAATAGTAAAGGGGGAAGGGGAAGTGGGTGGAACTTTAGTGAGCATCAATTGTTTGCCCTTCTCAGGGCAGCTAAGTGACACACTGGATAGAATACTGGCATGGAGTCAGGAAGACCTGAGCCCACAACTGGCCACAAACTCTTGCCAGCTATGTGACCCTGGGCAAGTTATGTAGCCTCTATTTGCCTCAGTTTCCTCAACTTCAAAATGGGAATAATTACCACATATTCTCCCCAGGGTTGTAGGGGGATCAAATGAGATCTCATTTGTTAAGTGCCTGACACATAGTAGATGCTCTTTAAATGCTGATTTTTTATTATTATTATTAACATCATTACCATCTCCACCTCCATTTAACTCTATAACTTTTATCTGATAATTGTATATTATGTGCTGTTCTCAGTAGGAGAGCCAGAGTCCTTCTGTAGCAACTTAATGTTATCTCCATTTGGCCAATTATGTCTATAAATAGGCTGGGGGGGGGGAATGGACGAGCAATACTTACAAATCACATGATTTCTCAACTAGAAGAAAATGAAAGTCCTTAGTTCAGCTCCCAATACAGTCACTCACACTACTCCCTAACCCAGCCAGTGCCAAGCTTTTGTTGTTGTTCAGTCCCATCAGACTCCAACTCCTTGTGACCCCATTTGGGGTTTTCTTGGCAAAGAGACTAGAGTGGTTTGCCATTTCCTTCTACAGTTCATTTTATAGATGAGGACACTGAGGCCAACAGGTTTAAATGACTTAAGGGTCATAGAGCTAACAAGGTGTCTGAGATCAGATTTGAACTTGAGTCTTCCTGACTCCAGGCCTGATTCTCTATCCACTGAACCACCCAGTTGTCTGAACACAATCCTATGCATCCCTTAACACACACGTCTCCCACAAACACAACATTCAGAGGATTAACTGATCATCTTTAAAGATCTCAGTAAGTCAACATGTCTGAGTTCTCATCCTGGATACCTATGCAAAGTCAGCCATTGGTGCTGGTCAGTCTGAGTGACCTCATGACCTTTAGCTTTTGGGTGGGAGGCAGTTAGGCTGCATGAGATGGTGGTCTGGATGGGGGCTAATCCTATCTGCCTATGATACAGTAAGGTGGGAGGAGCTGAGACACTGAGGCTGTACTAATCCCATCTCCCCATAATGACCTATCAATCCAAATACTTTTGCCCTTATGTGGAAGTTGTTTACTTGTCTATAGAAAGCAGCTTGGTGTGTATGTCTCCGTGTGTGTGTGTGTGTGGTGTGTGTGTGTGTGTGTGTGTGTGTGTGTGTGTGTGTGTGTGTCCATCTGTCTGTCCATCCTTGCTTTCTGTGCCATTTCACTCCTGTCTTTTTTTCTTCAATATGGTTCATCGTCTACCAATTTACTTGTGATTGAAGGAAGAAGAAGACACGTGAAATCTGAGTAACCAGTCCAAGACCTTCTCAAGTTTTCTGTACCACTCCTCACTGTGTCCCTACCAGGCCTGCCCAGGAGTTCAGTGAGTGCATGGCTGCGTGGCTCCATATGCCGGGCCACATTTCTGCGTAGATAGATAGATAGATGAATTTGGTGACCAGGGTAACAGCCTGCCAACCCAAGGCCCATCCTTGGCCTTCAGGGCTGCTTCTTCTCCTTCTGGTTTTTATCCCCATCCAAAGGTGAGGAGTGATGGGGGTGGCAGCAGCAAGGCAGCTCTCTGTTGTCTGCTCTGGCCCTCTGCCTTCCAGGCATAGCATGGGAGGGGGCATTGTGAGGGCAGCAATGCTGTCTGGTGGGTAGGGAAAAAGAAAAAGCAACTTGGGAATTTGAAAGGGGGCAAGGAGGACACTGTCAGCTCCCAACTGCCCTGTTGCCTTGGTGTGCTAAAAACAAAAACAAAAACAAAAAAACTTTTCAATTTCTTTTCTTGAGTTTGCCTCATGGAGCAGGGTGAGGGCCAAAAGATTTCTTTTAACATACCCATATTACTAACTACGTGACTTTGAACAAGTCATTTCCCTTTCTTAGCCTTGTTTTCCTCCTCTGCAAAAAGACAGAATGGGGCAATTAAGTGGCATGGTGAATAGTGTGCTGGGCTTGGAGTCAGGAAGAAACATCTTCCTGAGTTCAAATCTGACCTTAGACAATTACTAGCTGTGTGACCCTGGGCAAGTCACTTAATCCTCTTTGCCTCAGTTTCTTCATCTGTACAATGATCTGGAGAAGGAAATGGCAAACCACTCCAGTATTTTTGCCAAGAAAACCTCAAATGGAGTCATGGAGAGTCAGACAAAACTGAAATGACTGAACAACAACATTGAGAAGAAAGACAGCGTCCCCAGGTTGATGGGCAAGGATGATTCCTATTTAGCAGAGCCCTGCTTGACTGAACAGGGCCATGGAATGTATGTAGGCGAGTATCACATCCAAAACATCAAATGTATCTGCAGTCTACTAAATGTAACTCTACTACAGGAGGTTGTATCATCTACCCTTGCATGTACATGTACTTGCAGAGAACTTCCCACGGAAGACAATGCTTAGTGCTACATCTTGTGGAAACATTCCCTCTCCTCTGTCTCCCGGACAATTATTTGGCAAATTCTACTCACCTTTGAACTGGGACAAACGGTAACTACAAATCACATGATTTCTTCTCAATAGCAAGGAAATGAAAGTGTATATCAAGTTCAGTTGCTCAGTCTCCTTCCTCCCCTAGCCAGAGCACTGGATGAGAAAATATGGGAAGGTATTTTATAGCAGGCCCCTGACCAAAAGTTTAGTAACTCTATCAGAAGAGGAAAGGAGTTTAGACTGATTTGACCCATTCTTGATTAAGTAATGTTGCCTCTCTGAGATCACCAGATGCTTTCCCAGATATTCACCAATAACTGTCACGTTTTAAAAGACATTCTTTAATTTTTCCATGTACTGAAGCCAGACTCTCTGGTCAATAATTTGTATGTCCCCTCTTTTGCCTTTATAAAAAAAAAATAGAAGAGCATACTTCAGTCCTATGGTTCCTCTGCCATTCTCTGAGATCTCTCAAAGATCACTGGAAAGTTCTGAATATATTCCTACAGGTCCCCCACTGCCACCACTGAGGTCCAACATCGCCCCGAAGTGAAAGGCTAAAGTGAAAGCCCTCAGCTTCAGAGAGAGATGGGCCATAAGAGGAATTGCAGGGTTTTAGAATTTCAGAGTTGGGAGTGTGGTCCAGAGCTACTCCCTTTTAAGAACCACTCTGCTTTGTTCACACATCTGTATTTGTGTTCTCCCATTATATGCGAGGCAAGTGACCCAAAATAAGACGTGCCACAGTATCCTGTTGTGCAGCCTCTTCAGAGAAAGAGCCTAGCCCCTCTCTTCCCATCCTGGTGTACAGAAACTCCTTAACCCTAACCAGATCAGTCTCTAGCCCCAGCAAAAGGAACCTTGACCGATTCATTTTCGTTCTGTCCACTAACCTGTTCCTCACCTCTTGAAGCCTGGGTAAATATTGTGTACTGTTCATCTTTGTCTCTTCAGTGAGACTCCCCTGCGGGCAAACTCAATAAATCCCGGTTGGTCCAAATTACGTTTCTAGGCCACTCTGTTGTTGTTCCCGTTCCCAACACCCAACAACATAGTAGAACAGACAAAGATTGTATGTGAAACTACATGTCTCTATTATTTTTCTTTTTTATAATATAATAAATTCAATCTGTAATTTTAAAAGCTGTCTGGCTTGTCTGGGATTTTGCTTTTTCTGGCCTTCCTTCTGTTCTGTTCTCTGCATGGATAAAGATACCTAAATGAACCTCTTTTCTTTCTTTTCTTTTCTTTTTGCTATTCCTCTTTACCCTTCCATCCCTTCCCCACTGGAAAAAAATATAAAGAAATGTACTAGAGATTCTCCTTTCCACAGGGGAACCAGAAAATAGAGTAGCACAACAACTAGCTAATCAGGAGGATTTCTGATGCCCCGGGCCACTTGACATACCACCATACATTGTGAAGTAAACTTTTTTTTGTTGTTATTAATTAATTTATTTTTAGTTTTCAACATTCACTTCTATAAGATTTTGAGTTTTAAATTTTCTCCTCCTCCCACTTCTTTCCCCCACTCAAGATGGTATACAATCTGATATAGGCTCTACATATACATTCATGTTAAGCATATTTTCCCATTAGTCATGATGTAAAGAACAATTAAAACTAATGGGAGGAACCACAAGAATGAAGCCATAAAACAAAACAATGAAGGAAACTGAAAGTAAATAGTATGCTTCCATATGCATTCAGACTCCATATTTCCTTCTCTCGGTGTGGATAGCAATTTCCTTTGTGAGTCTTTTGGAGTTGTCTTAGATTCTTGCATTACTGTTGAGGAGCCAAATCTATCAAAGTCAGTCATCCCATAATGTGTTGGTTACTGCATACAATGTTCTCCTGGTTCTGCTCATTTCAGTCTATATCAGTTTATACAAGTCTTTCCGAGTTTTTTTTTTGAAGTCTGCCTGCTTATCATTTCTCATAGCACAATAGTATTCCATTACATTCATATACCACAACTTGTTCAGCCATTCCCCAATTGATGGGCATCACCAATTCTTTGCCACCACAAAAAGAGCTGCTATAAAAAATTTTGTACATGTGGGTCCTTTTCCCGTTTTTATGATCTCTTTGGGATACAGACCTAGAAGTAGTATTGCTGGGTCAAAGGGTATGCACAATTTTATAGCCCTTTGGGCATAGTTCCAAAGTGCTCTCCAGAATGGTTAGATCAGTTCACAACTCCATCAACAATGCCCCCACTAGACTACTTTTTTTTTCTACATTCGGTGAAATATTTATTTAACATCTACTATGGGCCAGGCACTGTCTAAGAGTGGGAGAAAAGACAGTCCCTGACCTCAAGGAGCTTACAATAGGATGGGGGAGATAACATATAAATAAATATATACGAAGCAAGCTTTATTCAGAACAAATAGGAAATAATTTTTAAAAGGGAAAGCATTGGAACCAAAGGGTTGGGGAAAGCTTCTTATAGAAGGTGTGGTTTTAGTTAGGATTTAAACTAAAAAGTTTTTACACTAACAATTGGGAAAATGTCTTTGCAGCAATTTTCTCTAGTACAAGTGTGAGAATCCAAGCTTTGTAAAGAACTGGTTCAAGTAAATAAGAACATGGGTTATTTACCAATACAGAAATGGTCAAAAGATATGAACTGGTAGTTCTCAAAGAAAGAAAGCCAATCTGTCAGTAGCTATATGAAAACGTGTTCCAAATCAATAATAACTAGAGAAATGAAAAATAAATTAAAACTTTGAGGTTCCACTACAAGCCCATCAGACTGGCAAAAATTACCAAAAAGGGAAGATGTCCTGACAAGTTTTTTGAAGGGTTTCCAGGAAGATAGGCACACTAGGGCATTAGAATCATCCTTCAACCCACCAACCAGGTGAGTCTATTGCAAAATGCTCCAGTCTTAAACCTCAGGTTGCATCTGAAACTGGTTTTACCTCTTCAGGCTTGAGGGAAACTCAAGCTGTTACCTGGAGTAGCATATGCTGTGGCAATCTTCGCTGTTTTGTGTCCTGATCATCTGAACATAATTTCTTTTCCCTGCTTGCTGATCAACCAAAGGGAAAAGCGGGGGGGAAAAATGAGTTTTTAAGGTGAAAGTTTCAAAGTTTTCAAAAGGACATGGTCCTATCTCTGATTTATGATTCCGACCAGATACAACCAGAAGGAAGGGATGTTCTTCCCCTCTCATCTGTAGAGGTTAGCATTAGAAACAAAAGAAAAACAAATATTGTATTTCAGGTACAATCTTTTTTTTTCTTGCCATGTGAAATTTTAATAGTAATTTTCAAAGAGAAAAATGTCCAAGCTTTAGCATAGCAAGCATTCATTTTCTTCTAATTAATTAACTATGTTACATCTAGGTCTTAGCTTCAGTGCTTAGAAGAATGTTCCTCATTACTCCTTGGAGCAGCTAGCAAATACTCAACTGTTAAAGCTAATAAAAATGTGCCTAAACCCCATCTTAATCCTCCTGTAAAAGGACTGACAAAATAGGCAGGATTTTCTATGCAAATTCATCTAGCTTCTCATTTCACTGTGGCCCCATGGATCCCTGAGACCCGGCCTAGCCAGCCTCTCCTGGATTTGCTGTGGTGCTGTTCCTTTCATCTTACTCAATTTGTCATCAGAAAGTCCAATTTTTCCTTCACTGTGCTCATGTTCATATCCATAGGCCGTGCCTTTTTAGTCGTCAAGAAATTACAGCGTATTTTTCCCCTTAATAAATTCCACCATCTGACAGGAATCAGCCTCAACTATGATGTTTTTAGAGATAACAGCCAGAAAAACCGCTTGAATCTAAAAATCGTGCCTCTAGACTAGCAATAATTAGAAGGACAGAGAGATATGATTCTAGGCCAGTACTCTTCTCTCCTAGAGAAGAACAGAGCAACCATCCTTGTGGCCCCTTCTCCTACTTCCTTTGAAGTACCAATCAGTCTCCCTTGAAGAGGGATGGGCTAGATTGAAGAAATATCTCTCTATGCCTCTGCTAGAAGTGCCTTTGGATAAACCACGTGGACACACACACTTTGCACAGAGTTTTAGGAAAGAAAATCTTTGACCACAGCTTTAAGTTCCCTTTTGCAGGGGTGGGGATGAGGGGTGGGGAGGAAGGGGGGAGGGGGGGAAAGCAGATTGGGCTCGCTACTGTTACTTCCTCTTTGGCAGAAAAAAACCACAGACTAATACAGAGCCTTACACTGAGGCTGAGACAGATCCAGAGTCAGCCCCAGATTAGTGAGAGCGCTCACCAATTCTGCCCCCTCCCACTTAGCCCCACAAAGGCTGGGACAAAGGTTGTGCGCAGCTTGAGGCTGCGGTCCTGATCCTTCTGTATTACACAACAACATACATGCACAACAACATTTGGAAACTCCAAAGCTGTTTTGAAAAGTAACTGAGTAAAAGTCATATAAACCATGACATTTTACTTATCTGAAAATAAGGGGGAAATAGTGCCCAATTGCTCTCAAGGCTATCCTATCATTTTGTGGTTTCTCAAATTATGGTACTTATGTCTTACACTCGACAACATTTTGCCTCATAAGCATCCTTGTGACTTCAAAAGAATGAATTTGTCATACCACTTCTGATTGTCAAAGGTTGAGCCAAGATGGAGTCAGTCGTGTTCTTCTACTTCAGACCTCCAGCACTTAACGGCTTGTGTGGTTTATAGTCAGCCACTTAACCTTTCAGTTCCTTATGCCATTCCCTAAGACTGTACAGTGGACAGAGAGCCCTAGCCCTAGAATTAGGAAGACTTGAGTTCAAATCCAGCTTCAGATTCTACTACTTGTGTGGGCAAGTCTTTTAACCTCTCTGCCTCAGATTCCCCCATCTGTAAAATGGGGGTGTAAAATAAAATAAAAAATGGGGGTGAAGATCACAAGAGATAATATTTGTATAAACTGCTTTGTAAATGCTAGATATTATCAAATTGTAGGACAGTTGCCACTGCATTAGTGAAAGGAGTTTTCTCACTGAAAATTCCCTCTACCTATGTCCAGACAAAAACGATTTCTCAACACGTTTGGGGCAGTTTTGTGACTCCATAAAATATATCACAGTGCGTGCAGTTAGAAGGATAGTAGTAATCTCAGCAGAAATTGAGACATAAGGCAGAGGGGTGAAAGCTAATGAATTCTGTTTTGGAAATGCTTATTTTTTCGGCTAGGCAATAGGGTTAAGTGACTTGCCTAGGGTCACACAGCTAGTGTTATGTGTCTGAGGTCACATTTGAACTCAAGTCCGACTGAATCCAGGGCCCAAGCTCTATGCACTGCGCCACCTAGCTGCCCCTGGAAATGCTTAGTTTTAAGTGGCCCATGGGACATCAGATGACATCCGGGAGGTCTTGGTTAAGACAAGATTATATCCTCAAATGCTCAGCTGAAATCTCAATGAATATTGTCTACGGAATTCCCTTGAAATCTACCTACCTTGTCAAAAAGGGAATTGAGATTACATATCATCTATTCTGGACAAAGTCATACAGGTATAGCAGAATATGCCTAATGATGCCCTCGGCTGGCAGAACCTCTGACATTAAAGAAGATTGATGAGATACTGGAGGAAGAAAGGGAAACTCTGTATTCAGGCATGGAGACCAGGTCAGGTCACAAGCAAAGACAGATTCAGAGCCCCTAGACTTGTAGCTTTGGAAAGCTCTATCAGCTGGTGAACTAGAAGAATAGCAATCACCCCTTGGACTCAGTGGATTATAGGCCCATGACTCCTGCTCCTAACGCTTTCATCATCTGGGAAAAGTGGGGAGCAGAACGGAAGGATTATCTGTTTTGGGAAATGATGGGAGACAGATTTCTCGTCATTTTAGTTGCACACAATAAAACGTGTGACCGCAGAAAGGCTTGTTTTCAAAATGGTATGAAATATAGATGAGTGGGCTGTAATGAAGGGAATCTGTTGGGGGCAGAACTATGACAATAGATATGTGGGAATTTTCAATATTTTAATATTTTACAGCAATATTCAATTCATTTTATCCTAAGCCAAATGTCAAACTGGGACAGTGAAGCAAAAGTAATCCAACAACTTGCAGGCGGGCGGCCTCTTGTGAGCATAGGTGGTATTGCAGCTCTCCCAAGCACAGGAACTCGTTCCTGTCTCAGAAACCTACTTTTGGCCAAATGATACTCTTATTACACTTCTTAGCTGACCAATTAATTAAGTAATTGACTGTCTCCTTTCCGACAGTTGTAGAAAACAGGAAAATGAGCAGGGCGTGGGCAGCATCATCAAATGTAGACCCAGTCCACATCTTCACACAGGTTTTTAGTATTCACAGCTTCCCTAAGTATTCACAAACCACCTTCTTAATGTGCTTTAGAATCCTTCCAGGTTTAAAAAAAATAATAAAAGTGATAACATCATTCTAGCACAGCCTAATAAGTGAGAGATCTTTGTTTCCAACATTGCGTGTTTCCATCATTGTGTGTTTGAATGAGATAATCAGCAATATGTAGTGAAGTATTAGAACTATCTTTTTTTAACTGTCTTTTAGGTGTCAAATTTTAGAAACAAGCAAGTTTTCCACCTTGGATCAACTTTAGTTAATCATTAAAAGAATACTTGCTTAATTCAGCCAAAATAAACAAATGAATAAATGTCCTTCCAGTTACAAAAGTCAATCTCTCTCATCTATATTTTACAAGCTCCATTTTCTTCCATCTTTTGAAAATTGGAACATTTACCTTCTCCAGTCCTCTGACGTTTCTCCCATTCCCGAAGCTCTTTTAATTACTCAATCACCAAACCTTTATTAATCTCTTACTATGTGTCATGCACTTCCAAAAGTTACCCTCAAGAATCACCAATACTTTAGTATAATCATCCTCGGAAATAATGACCTGGCTAAACTTCTATGGACTTGTCCAGCCTGGTCCCAGGAACCTCATTATTGAGAAATATCATCATCCTGCAAGATTCATTCAACCTTGGTACTCTGATCTCATCACTATTCTCTGCCCCTTTGACTGGAAGGCATAACTCTGAACTCCAAAACTTCCATTTAAGGAGGCATTCCAGGACAGCCATCTCATTTCCCACCTTGTTCTGCACTCTTTTGGATTTCTTTGGACTTCTCCATCATGCTCCTTCTGAGTACCTCCTTCCCTCACCCCCTCCATCTTTTCAATTTCTTTTTATGTGTTGCCTTCTCCCAGTAGATTGCAAATTCCTTCTGGGTAGGGACTATCTTTCTTTTTAATATCTGTATCTCTAGCACAATGTCTGGCATGTAGTAGGCACTTAATAAATGTTTATTTACTGAACTCATTGAAAAAGGCTATATTCTGCCAGTCTCCTTACTTACTTTGGGTTCCTTGCTAGTGATGTTTCGTTTATCTTTCCCAATCCAAAGATCATTCTCCTTTGAAGAGAAAACAGAAGCAAAGTAAGAGTTAAGTAGTTCAATCTTTTGCTATCATCCATTCTCCTCATCCCATCCACCCAGGCAGCAGTCATATTTCTTCTTTAATCTTTCTCTTGCCTCCAACATAGCTTTTAAAAACACTTTTTTGGGGGCTTTCTTTTGTTTTTTAGGTCACCTCAACTTCCCACTGTATCCTTTTGCTTCCTTATTCTCCTCCCCAAGAGCCACTCCTTATAATAATGATTCTTTTAATGAGGAAAAAAAGGAAAAAACTAACCAATGTATCCAAAGAAGTCTGATATACGCAGCCTTCCACACTCATGGTCCCTCTGCTTCTGCAAAGGAATAGGGGAAGGTATCTTTTCATAGCTCTTCCTTGGAGTCAAGTTTAGTCAATATAATTTCACAGAATTCAGTTTTGATTGTTTTATTTCCAACATGGTTTTTTAAAATTTGTTTTTTTGAGGTAATCAGTGTTAAGTAACTTGCCCAGGGTTACACAGCTAGTAAGTGTCAAGTGTCTGGATTTGAACTCAAGTCCTCCTGACTCCAGGGCTAGTGCCATATCCACTGAGCCACCAAGCTGCCCTCAACATGGCCTATTTTTTTGCATATTAAAGTTTTTATGTGAAAAAAATTTGTGAAATTTATTATATTTTAATGCATTCAATTATTTTACTTTGCCCTAGATAATATTCACATGACTACAGGATCATAGAATCATAGATTTAGAGATCAAAGGGATCTTTGTTAGGGCTATATAGTCCAACCCCCTAACTTTACAGAAGAGAAAATGCTGGTCCAAAGAGGTTGGCTGACTTGCTCAGGGTCACATAGGTTTAGGGCTCAAGATTCAAATTGTCTGATTCCTAATCTATTATGCTTCTCACTCTTCTGATTTGCAGAGGGGAAGATTTAGGTCCAATATAAGGAAAACTTTTTTCCCATTTAATAATATTTTATTTTTTACAATTACATATAAAGATAGTCTTCAACATTGATTTTTAAAAGATTTTGAGTTCTAAATTTTTTCTCCCTCCCTCCCTTCATTCCTCCTCCCCAAGACAGCAAACAATCTGATAAAACCCAAATGTGGCTTTTTAAAAAAATCCTTTTTGTTGTCCTTAGCATTAATTGCCAACTTTGGATCTTTCTGACCTTTGGCACTCCTGGGAATTCTCATAATAACATATTTAGTGTAGTCCGATTTAAAGCTCAATGGTCATCACTGAGAAATGTCATATTCTTGTAATGGAATACTATTGTTCTATAAGAAATGATAAGCAGGTGGATTTCAGAAACACCTGGAAAGACTTACATGAACTGATGCTGAGTGAAGTGAGCAGAACCAGGAAAACATTGTATACAGTAACAGCAACATTGTGAGATGACTAACTATAATAGACTTAGCTCTTTTTAGCAATACAATGATCCAAGATAATTCCAAAAGACTCGTGATGGAAAATCTTCTAACCACATCCAGAGAAAGATATATGGAGTGTGAATGCAGAGGGAAGGATACTATTTTCACTTTGTTTTGTTTTTTTCTTTCTTGTAGTTTTTCCTTTTTGTTCTGACTTGTCTTTTGGAAACATGTTTAACATGATTGTAAATGTATAACCTATATCAGATTGCTTGCTGTCTTGGGGAGGGGGAGGAAAGGGAGAGAGGGAGGAAGAAAAATTTGGAACTCAAAATTTTGCAAAATTGAATGTTGAAAATTCTCTTTACATGTAATTGGAAAAAATAAAATACTATTAAAGAAAAAAAAAAGAAATGTCATATTCTCTGGCAGGAACTTATTTATTATTCTTACCCCTACTTGGCCAACAAGTTCTGAGGTCAGTAAGTTAAAGATTATGGATGGCATCGTATATATTGTTTCCCCATCTTTGGATAGTGCCTACATCTTGTTAACTAATAATATCCCTTCCCCTAAAAAAGGCAAAAAATTCAACTATCACCTCTATACAAACAACTCCCAGATTTATATATACCCAGCCCTACTCTCTTTCCTGAACTTCAGCCAGTCTGATACCACCAACTGTTTATTAGACATCCTTAACTGGATTTCCTGCAGGCATTTCAAACTGGACATGTCCAAAACATTATCTTCTCTCCCCAAGACCCCTCCCCTTTTCCTAAATTCTCAGTTTCTATTGAGGGTACCACCACACATCCAGTCACCCTGGTTTGCAAACCTGAAGCAATGTCCAGTTCTCCATCACCACCCTCCCATTATTCAGTCACTGATCAAGTCTGGTGAGTTCTACAACCACAACATCTCTCCTATTTGTCCTTTCCTCTCTACTCATAACCACCACCCTAGTTCAGGCTCTCATCACCTTTTGATTCGTCTGTTAAAATAGCCTATTAATGTCTCCTGGCTTCCAATCTCTCCCCTCTGCAATCCATACTCCACCTAGCCAAAAAGTTGACATTCTTAAAACACAAGTTTGATCATGTCACTCCCCTGCTGAAGAAGCTCCAGGGGCTTCCTCTCTCTTCTAGGATTGAAAAAAAAGTCTGGTGAAACCCCTGCCCCTTTTTTGGAATTTTAAAAAAAAATTCATAATCAAAGGAAATGTTAAATTTCAGTTAAAGGTGAATGAAAATGTAAGTGTAACTTCTTCCCATCCAACTTCAAAGATATCCTGAAATTTATCCACAGACCCCACCACTGACCCTAGGTTAAGAACCCCTGTTCTTAGACTATGAGTTATAGAGAATATGCTGACTTGCATTGGTAAAGGGAGATCCTCATCTGGGACTTCCCTCTACCAATGAAATCACAGGTTCAATCCCTACTGCTAGCCCCTATTTTGTAAGTGTAAAGGAGTTGGTCTTTCCCAGACCTAATCACAGAAAAGAGATCTAAGATTAGGTGTTAAGCTACAGAAATTCTTCCAGGTCACCCTTTATGAAGTACAAATGAATCCCTTAAATTAATTAGGAAGGAAGCAAGGGATACACTGAAGCATAATAAATAGCGTCTGCCTTACAAGAAACCTTTAAAATTCAGTTGGCTTCATTTGGAAGAACAAAAGATTTACACTCTGAAGGAAAACAATGAAAAATGTGGGAATGAAAGGGGAATATCACTTCTAGACCTCAAGCTATATTACAAAGCAACAATCCTGTGAGAGAATTTGTTAAAAGGAGAGAAGCCTTGGGATTTTTTCCTTTTTTTTAATTTATTTTTTTAATATAAATTTATTTATTTTTAGTTTTCAATATTCACTTCCACAAGTTTTTGAGTTCCAAATTTCTTACCCCTCCCCCCACCCCAAGATGGCATGCATTCTGAATACCCTTTCCCCTGGTCTGCCTTCTCTTCTATCTCTCCCCCCTCCCTTCTCTTATCCCCTTCCCCTTCTATTTTCCTGTAGAGCAGGATAGACTTCTGTACCCCATTTCCTGTATTTCTTATTTCCCAGTTGCATGTGAAAACATTTTTTTAAAAACATGTGTTTTTAAAACTTTGAGTTCCAAATTTTCTCTCTCCCTCCCCACCCACCTTCATTGAAAAGGCAAGCAACTCAATATAGGTGTACATGTGCAGTTATGCAAAACACTTCCTTAGTAGACATGTTGTGAAAAACTAACTCTATTTCCCTTAATCCTATCCTGCCCTCCCATTTATTCTATTCTTTCTTTTGACCCTGTCCCTCCTCAGAAGTATTTGCTTCTGATTACCCTCTTTCCCAATCTGCCCTCCTCTCTATCACCCCCTGCTCTCTTGTCCCCTTCTCCCCCTATTTTCCTGTAGGTAAGACAGATTTCCATACCCAATTGAATGTGTATGTTATTCTCTCCTTAAGCCAAATCCTATGAGAATAAGATTCCCTCATTCCCTCTCACCTTCCCCTGTTTCCCCTCCACTGTGAGAGACTTTTCTTTTCTGTTTTTTTTTGTGAGATAATTTACCCCATTCTACCTCTCCCTCTCTTCTCCAAGTATCATCCTCTCTCATCCCTTAATTTTATTCTCCAGATATGACCCCTTAATCTTCAACTCACCCTGTGCCCTCTATCTATCTATCTATCTATCTATCTATCTATCTATCTATCTATCTATACATACATACAATTTTTTTCCTTCAACTACCCTAATACTGACAAAGTTCTCATGAGTTACAAATATCATCTTTCCATGCAGGAATGTAAACAGTTCAATCTTAATAAGTCTCTTATGATTTCTCTTTCCTGTTTACCTCTTCATGTTCCACTGGAGTCCTGTATTTGAAAGTCAAATTTTCTGTTTAGCTCTGGTCTTTTCATCAGGAATGCTTGAAAGTCCTCTATTTCACTGAATGACCATTTTTCCCCTGAAGGATTATACTCAGTTTTGCTGGGTAGGTGATTCTTGGTTGTAATCCTATCTCCTTTGCCCTCTGGAATATTATGTTCCATGCCCTCTGATCCCTTAATGTAGAAGCTGCTAAATCTTGTGTTAATCCTGATTGTGTTTCCACAGTACTTGAATTGTTTCTTTCTGGCAGCTTGTAATATTTTCTCCTTGACCTGGGAACTCTGGAATTTGGCTACAATATTCCTAGGAGTTTTCCTTTGGGGATCTCTTTCAGGAGGAGATCTGTGGATTCTTTCAATTTCTATTTTGCCCTCTGGTTCTAATATATCAGGGCAGTTTTCCTTGATAATTTCTTGAAAGATGATGTCTAGGCTCTTTTTTTGATCATGGCTTTCAGATAGTCCAATAATTTTTAAATTCTCTCTCCTGGATCTATTTTCCAGGTCAGTTGTTTTTCCAATGAGATATTTCACATTGTTTTCTAATTTTTCATTCTTTTGGATTTGTTTTACAGTGTCTTGATTTCTCATAAAGTCACTGTCTTCCAATTGCTCTATTCTAATTTTTAAGGAAGTATTTTCTTCAGTAATCTTTTGGACTTCCTTTTCCATCTGGCCAATTTTGCTTTTTAGGGCATTTTTCTCCTCATTGGCTTTTTGGACCTCTTTTGCCATTTGGGTTAGGCTGTTTTTTAAGGTGTTATTTTCTTCAGTATTTTTTTGGGTCTCCTTTAGCAAGCTGTTGACTTGTTTTTCATGATTTTCTTGCATCACTCTCATTTCTCTTCCCAGTTTTTCCTCTACTTCCCTTACCTGCTTCTCAAAATCCCTTTTGAGCTCTTCCAAGGCCTGGGACTGATTCATATTTTTCTTGGAGGCTTTGGATGTAGGAGCTTTGATTTTGTTGTCTTCTTCTGGTTGTATATTTTGATCTTCTTTTTCACCAAAGTAAGATAATATAGTCTGACTCTTTTTGTGCTGCTTGCTCATGATCCCGGCCAATTACTTGAGTTTTAAACT